CCTACCCCGTGATGGCGCGCGATAGCGGGCGGAGCAAACCTGGTTTGAAATAAAGTGCACGCTGCTGGCTCAAGAAATGAAATTTCCGCGCGGATGATATCGGAAACATTCTAAATATTCACTCCAAGAAAACAGCCGCGATGAGTGTCCTTCAATAACAAATGATCTACTGCCGTTCATTCCGCACTGCGAGCTGTAGAATGACAGAGCGTTACGTGCGTCTCCCGACTATTTTTGATATAAGGAGACAGTATGGTATTTCAGCTGCAGCTGATCTAGCGCTCTGTGTGGCAGCGGACTTTTCCGCTCAAGGGTGGAAGCGTTGGTGAGTTATATTTCTGCACCGTTCTGACTTCTCAAGTGGTTTCTGACACGATGTCGGACCGTTAGAGATGAAAGGCGCTGGTGGCGTAGAGCGTAACGTCAAACACTTAAAACACATTCAGGGGCCGTAAGGTATGCTCTCCTGTTCGGGGCGGGGTCCCCATCCCGGTAAGGTATGGTCTTCCCGAAAGCTTTCGGGGAGAGGCCACGCCCACTTGTTTTCGGGTAGTTCCTCCCGAACAACGTGCAATCGGGGCTTGTCGGGACTACCGTAATCCCGTGACCATAGGGCGCGGAATTGCCTGTCGAGCGCGCAATTCTTCTACGGCTTACGCATTGTTTCACTCCCCTCTTGAACATTTCTTGGTTTTCATGCCTTAAACGATTTCATTTGTACTTATTGTTCTCACGCAATATTATATTATGCTCAACCATAAATTTTAACCGTGATATGAAAAAAAACAAAAATTGTGAACACTTTACAGGAAGGTTTAGTCCTTCTTTAAGAAGGAAGCAATTTGGAGGGTTTGAATTCTTCCTCCCACGTCTATGCTCAGATAATAAAACATATGAATATTTAACCCTGATCATTTCTTCCAATGAAGTTGCTTTTACTCAATCAATACGGATGTGGAGGTGGCATCATGACCTCTGAGTTATCCCACTCATTTAGGGGCTGCTTCGCACCTCGGAACGAGGCATCCTTAATTAGGTGCGAAAAAAACAGGAATCGTACCACCTTTGACTGACCCCCCTCCCCATAACGACATGAGGGCCATGACACAGTACATTTAGTATCTAGCAAAAACGACAGAAATAGAAAAAGTAATGTTAACAGTGCTCCCCAAGTGCATTTGTGTCACTGGTCAACCTTTGCTGCTAATGCTGTCATTGC